TTTTCTACAACTCACATATCAAAGAAAGCTCATAACCTAATCAATGTAATGGTACCATTTGTGTTCAAATTGATTGTAATCATAAAAAGATATGTGCTAGTTTAACTTGTATTTTTGCATAATATAAAGAAATGTGAAAATGTAAATAATTTTTAAAAGACTTATTATAAAAGTTTTTATAACTCACATATCAAAACAAAGCCCTTAGACAGATCAATGTAATGGTATATGTTGTTTGAAATTTGGTTGTAATGAAAAGTGATATCAGAAAAAGTAACTTCAAGTTTGGTGTAATTGTAGCTAAAATTTGAAAATATAAATAAAATATCGTGTAAGATATTTTCAACAAATTCTACAATCCAATCAACAATAATATCATTAATGGGTTGTGAATTGATTGTAATCATAAAGAGATATGTGCTAGTTTAACTTGTATTTTTAGCGATAATGAAAGTGAAATGGAAAATTTTAAAAGACCAAGCTTATCATACAAACAAAGGCCTTAGACAGATCAATGTAATGGTATATGTTGTTTGAAATTTGGTTGTAATGAAAAGTGATATCAGAAAAGTAACTTCAAGTTTGGTGTAATTGTAGCTAAAATTTGAAAATATAAATAATTTTTATATAGTGTTTTTAAAGATATTTTCTACAATTCACATATCAAAAGAAAGCTCATAACCTAATCAATGTAATGGTACCATTGTGTTCAAATTGATTGTAATCATAAAGAGATATGTGCTAGTTTAACTTGTATTTTTGCACATAATATAAAGAAATGTGAAAATGTAAATAATTTTTTAAAAGACTTATTATAAGTTTTTCTTATAATTCACATATCAAAACAAAGCCCTTAGACAGATCAATGGTATATGTTGTTTGAAATTTGGTTGTAATGAAAAAGTGATATCAGAAAAAGTAACTTCAAGTTTTGGTGTAATTGTAGCTAAAATTTGAAAATATAAATAATTTTTATATAGTGCTTTTAAAGATATTTTCACAATACATATCAAAAGAAAGCTCATAACCTAATCAATGTAATGGTACCATTTGTGTTCAAATTGATTGTAATCATAAAGAGATATGCTAGTTTAACTTGTATTTTATGATAATATAAAGAAATGTGAAAATGTAAAAAATTTTTAAAAGACTTATTACAAGTTTTTCTTATAATTCATAAAACAAAGCCCTTAGACAGATCAATGTAATGGTATATGTTGTTTGAAATTTGGTTGTAATGAAAAGTGATATCATCAGAAAAGTAACTTCAAGTTTTGGTGTAATTGTAGCAAATTTGAAAATATAAATAATTTTTATATAGTGTTTTTAAAGACATTTCTACAATTCATATCAAAAGAAAGCTCATAACCTAATCAATGTAATGGTACCATTTGTGTTCAAATTGATTGTAATCATAAAGAGATATGTGCTAGTTTAACTTGTATTTTTGCCCATAATATAAAGAAATGTGAAAATGTAAATAATTTCTTTTAAGTCTTATTAAAGTTTTTTCTTATAATTCACATATCAAAACAAAGGCCTTAGACTGATCAATGTAATGGTATATGTTGTTTGAAAATTGATTCTAATGAAAAAGTCATATAAGAAAAAGTATGTTAATATTTTGCTTGTTTCTAGCAAAATATGAAAATTTAAATGCTTTGTTAATCAAATATATTTTATACAAATTGCACATCATAGGAAAGCAATAATGTAATGGTACCATTTGTTTTACAGTTACATGAAACTTTATTAAGTAGGTACAATATACATGCATATTTTGCAATTTTTAGCAAATTTAAATAGAAAATTTAGAATAATTTAGGCATTGTGTACCCAAATATGTATTATACTACAAGAAGGTACTATATTCCTATTGGTCAATATTGTTAATAACTCTCTCCTATTGGTTCAATGAAGTCACATTTCATCGTTCTTTGGCAGCCATCTTGTTGAAGTAAATTGAAGTTCTTAGTGCTCTTCGTAATCGTTAAAAATCTAAGGTAAAATTTAGCAATCGAAATAATTTTTTCTAAAATATTATTTATAAGAAATCAATTGTTCTTGCTGAAGTGTTTTTGGAATAAATTGCAAATATTGGTTCATTACTTTACTGTTTTATGATAATAACATATAAAGTGTTTTTAACATTTTACAACTTTGAGTTTTGCTTTTTAAGTTTTCCATCTTTAATGTTTTGATTTTATCTTCATTGTTCTTGTGTTTGCCCTATATTACCTTTACTTCTTATCAATTGTACATTTCGTTAGTGGTTATTCTATTTATTTTATATTTCTCTCGAACTGTTTTGCATTGCTATATTTTGTATTAAAATTGATTAAAGCTATATATTAAAAAAACTAGTCAAATCCAGTGACACATAAAGCATGGCACGAATAAATCATAGGTTAAATAATGTACAATCGATAAAATCCAGACAGGTATCAATAATAACCTTTAATGCCAATCGAGATCTTAAAATTGCAAACTACCATTCAGATTTATTATCAAACAGAATACGAGAGTTGCACGAGAGGGAAAAATATTTTGAAGATCGCTTCATTCCAAGTAAATTACAGTAATATATGTATGTTGTTTTAGATACAGCTTTTCCATTGAGAACTGGGCTAAATACTGTAGTTTTATACCTGTAGTGTATGCAAGTCAATAGTATTTTGCAAATGCCACAACATGTGCAGAAAACTGCAGTGAGTGAAAGAACTAAATGTCATTATCATACAAGGAGGTATATTGTCCCAAATAAACCAAATTCCTATTGTACTTCAAAACCTTTCAATACAAAATGTCATTACTTTAAGGCCCTTTGACCTTGATTGGCGTGTACAAAGGAAGCAACATGGATATAGAGTAAAACTGGGATAATAAAATTAACAGTCTCTCAAATTCAGTTATGCAAAAGATAAAACAACTGACGAATGATGGTGATATGCAAAGATGCATACAAGCATATCAATACTTAATGACTGCGGAGAATTCCCATTACTCCCATTTTGTAAATTTGAGAGAAGAACTTGTGCAAGCCAATGATAATATCATTACTTTTGACTTCATAAGTACTTCAGCTATTGAGTGTGCATTGTGGCCAAATCTTTACCCTTTTTCTTCCTGGTGTGAAAGTATCATTAGTGGTGAAAGCAGTCGACTAAGTATGAAAAAATCGTTTTGCAGCAAGTTGTTTTCACCAATTTTAGATTATGGACTAAATTTCGAACTTCTTCAATGGCAATCTGATCGCAGTATGTATAAAGTTGTTAGTGGTGCAATAAATACTGCGTGTTTCCAGTTGCTCACCTGCAAGAGCACTTGATTGTAAACTTTTCATCAACATACTGGCAATGGCAACATCGATATTTATTAGATGCTGTACCTCAGTTTGGTTTGCCAGATATTTTTTTAACTATAAGTCCATTTGAGTGGTCATTTCCATTCCCAGATTGTGTAACACAAATTCGTAGAAATACAGGAATGAGTGCAAAACAGTTACCTGCATTTGAAACTATAAGTATTGCTCACACACTAGAGCAAATAGTTAGAGGGTATTTATGTGGAAGCAACAGCAAGAGATGGCATAGTCACATTTTTAATTACAACAGTCTTGCTGCATCAACGAATTTCAAAAACGAGGTACCTTGCACTTGCACATGTTAGTTTGGCTTAAAGATATAAGAAAGATTCAACATCAACATATTCGTGCTGATATTCCATTTGAAAATCCGGAATTGGCCTATTATGTTCATAAGTTGCAACCATCAGATAAGATATTGAACTGCCTAAACTTGCAAGCACAAAATACTTATTTCTCCTTTGAAAGTGGAAAACATGTTCACCATTTAAAACATCCAGCAGATGCATTTGCACTAAATTTAAGAGCTTATATAGATACTCTTTTACCATCGCTTAAATGTCGAGTTGACTATCAAACAACTGACGATGTAGCAATGCTTTTGAAATATGTCACATCATATGTGACAGTGTCATGATGCCAATACAGTTGATGGATTATATTCATATCACATTAATGGGAGACGAGCAAAGTTTCTTTTTCGTTTCAAAACAAGCATGCAGATATTTGGATTGAAAAAATCCGACGCAAAATTGGAAGCCAACAATGAGCTCAAAATTGTGCTCGCAACATTTGAGTTCGTGCTTCGTGCAAAATTTTGAAGCGATGCAATCAATAGGATGGACAGCAGGACGGCTTCGCCTTAAGAAGGATGCTGTACCCACGATTTTTGAATACTCTGTGGAACCCACAAGTGTAGCATCTAAAAGGAAGCAGCCAACAAATTTTAGAACTGCATTTGAGAAGAGACGAAGGCAAGAGGTGATTATTATAGTTATAGTTAGCAATACAACTAAGCTATTACCATTACCAAATTGAGGACAATTTTATAATTTTAGATTATTGACGACGTTCTTGCAGAACATGACGACTTTCTTGAAGGAGACGACCACGATGTGTCGACATCGGCTCGAAATGTTTGTGCGTTTTAAGTCAAAGGAAGTTTGTCTAAGATAAAAGATGTCAAAATACATGTAGACAGCGAAACACAAACATATACAGTGGTAACTAATTCAGACTAATGTCGTTTGATTTTTTCTTTGTTATTTTAACTCATAGAAAATTCTTTGTACCTTAGAAGCGCAATGTGAAATGCCAAGCAGACATAACAATCCGTCCGCAAAAACACATAAGGTCAAGAACCACTCAAACAAAAGTGCCAAATATGATAAGTAGAGGTATAGATTTTCATTTCGGCCGTTTTGATTTTCGTGAAAATCCAGCAATACGATAATTTTATGCTAAGGTACGGAGGTTGAGTTAATGTCAACAAAAAATCACAGCACACAGACGACGTCATGTGAAATTGAACATTTTGAGGATAGCGCTGTATGGTCTGATACAGAAAGCACGTCGACGATGAGCAATAGCTACAATGGATCAGACTCTCACTCGTTTTCTTCACTCTCAGGCATAGGTCCAATGTCATGTGTGTACACGACCATAGCTGTTTTACGACAGCTTCGTTTGTACACACTGTGCAAATCTTCCTCTTGTGTGATGCAAATATGATCGCCATGTATCAGAGGATCAGTATTGTTTACTCTTGCAAAATATACTTTCCCGTCCTGTACTCATGACCACACAAAAGCCACACTCACACCTAAAAGATAAAAACATTGTTTTTACTTTGGGAAAAAACAATGAAGCATCAATAAAATGCAACTAACCATTCAACATTTCCAATTCTGTGAATGTGTTTATCTTCGCTTTCCGATGACGGAGAATTCTCATCATTATGACCACCTTGCGCGTTGGCCAAAGGCTCAAACATGTAAGGTTGTACCTTATTGTTATTGATGATAATATAATAATCGGCTTCTTCTTCAGAAGAATCCATTAATCTTTGATAAATAAAAAGAGTAATAGCAAACTACGAAAGCCGCAAGCACTGCATGCAAGTCGTAGAACGATATAAGAACAATGCTTGTTTATGTCAACGAATACGTCACTCTTTCCCAGTTCCCAGACTTAAACAATCTCACGGCGTTTTAGCAATGGTCATCGAATATCGTGTTTTTACCGATTATAATCCTAAATATCTTTAAAATATTTTGCCGACAACTTTGAAACTTGAGTCTTATTTTCATAAGCATTGCAATAAAATAAAGTTGTTTTCTAGCTTGCATGTGTGCTTTAAGAGAGCAACATTATAGTTATCAACATGGACCAAATTGCACTAGTGCATCAGATTCAGAGAACACTAGTGAAGACGATCTGTCAAATGATTTTGGACTATTACCCATGGAAACAGACAGTATAAACAATGAAAACCTACAACATTATACAGAAAATGATTTAAGCTTGATTCATAACGAAAGTTTTGAGTGAAAAAGCCAATTTTAGTTGTTGGAAAACCGGGATCTGGAAAACTGAGACAATCTGCCAAATTGTTAGATATTTTGTTCACAAGCAAAAATGTTCTTGTTTCAACACCAATTGGACTTTTAGCTAGCCATTTTCGAGCTGTACTTTGGAAGATGTTACATGTGACACAGTACATGCTGCATTTCATTGCCATTATCAGATACAGAACGAGCAAAAACTAAATGGGGTATTGCACAATATGACCTTGTTGTAATTGATGAAATTTCAATGATTTCAGACGATAATTTCAAACATGTTATTTCTACACTTAATAGAATACTTTTTAGGCCTATTCTGATACTTGGAGGAGATATTTCTAAGCAGCAACCGTTTGTCAAAGACGATAAACCAATAGTCAATGTGAAAAGTCCACTTAATAATGAGCAATTTGTTAGTTCTACTTATCACTTTTCCTACATGGACAACATAGATTTGGAGATAAGGAATATTTGACATTCTTAGATCATATCAGACATTGGCAACCAGAGCAAAAGTTTTGGATGAGTTCTAAAGGGAAATGGTCATATGTGTAGATGGACAAATGTGTGAAGAAAAGTTAATGGCCCAATTCATGCAGTCAGAAAATGTTACACTTTTGACATTTTCCAACAATGCTGCAAACTACTTAAATACTTTAATAGTGAAGTCGATTTTTGCTCAAGATGAACCATTAGCTCATATTTCTTTCGATGGTCAAACCAATCTTTTGCCTGTTTTCAAAAGAATGAGTAATAATTACCCAAAACAGAGACAAATCAAATGGTGTCATTAATGGCCAAATTGCTAGTGTACATGCGTTTCATAACAGCACAATTTTCCTTGAATTGCCAAATAAGACAATTGTGCCAATTTATCAAGTTACAACATATACAAATAATGAGAATGTAACAAGTTATCCATTACGTATTGGGTATGCAAATACAATATGTAAATCAAGGCCAAACATTGTCTAATGTTATATTGTGGTTTGACTGTGAAAAATTCCACCGGGACGGCATATGTTGCATTGAAGTATGCAAACGGAAAATATTAAATTCTTGTTTCCATTAAAAACTCATTTTTTCACACCTGTTTTGACATAAGTGTCAAAGCTTTTATATCACATATTGATAGGGAAACATCCTTAACTTTTATATCAGAAATTATTACTACAGTGTAAGTTTAGGTAAAAAGATTAAAAATTAAATAAATGTAAAAAAATAAAAATTTGTAAATAAATTGTTGCTATGAAGAAATTACAATTGTGTGAAAAAGGAAGTTAATATTTATATGTAATTGGCATTTTCTGCTTCAGAATTTTTTTCTGGAAAGTAAAAAAGAAAGAAATAAATATATAGCACAAAATGATACACAGTTCATTAGATAATTTTTAAAAACACTTCAATTAATAATTATTTAACAAGTGATGAATTTGTAATTGTTAGATGCAGAAAGGAAAAACGTCATCATTTAGTCCAGGAACACCAAAGGCTGTTTCCTATTTTAACCACTTTCCAGCAAATTTCCTTAAACCGTATGGCCTGGCTGATGATGTGCCCTCACAAGAGGTGATAATGCGACGCACAAAACCAGTAAGCAACGAGTGGTTACTGAGGCCAGCCATTGCAATGAGCGAATTTGCCGATACTATTTACCAAAACGTGTCGCTCTTGGAGAATAAACATTCTCTTTTATTAAACATGGCAAACTAAATCATTTCTTTATGGAAATGAAAAATACATGAATTCACTCGAACGGCTCAATTCAAAACAGCAGAAAATGCAACAAAGAAGACGTGCAAAAAATATTTTTAAGATGTTCTATAATGAAGAATCTGTTATTGCAGATACTATGCAAGAATTCTTCAAGGCTATGGAAATGCCTTTAGCTTCAGATACAGAAGAATCTGATTAACATGTAATAATGTTTAAAAAACCACAATGGAAAACATTTGCTACCATTGTTTGTTTTAAAAATATTTTGTTGTGCCATAATATAATGTTTTTTTTCCTAAACAATTTGTCATAAAATATTATAGATGCAATTGAGTGGTATCATTTACATTTCATTTTTGTTATTGTTGTGTTGATTATTAGTTTTGTTCCTACTGTAAGGCAGAGAAGTATTTTTCAAGAAACAACGAAGAAAAACATTATATTGTCTGCTATCAAATATGTTATTGCAAGCTCACGAATTAAGAAAAATATCATATTTCCATTTTGAACATAATAATTCATTAAAAAATAATATAAGATTACGTGAGCCTCGTCATCTAATTAGTGACGCGCATGAATGGATTAACGAGATTCCCACTGTCCCTATCTACTATCTAGCGAAACCACAGCCAAGGGAACGGGCTTGGCAACAACAGCGGGGAAAGAAGACCCTGTTGAGCTTGACTCTAGTCTGACTCTGTGAAAGAACATGAGAGGTGTAGAATAAGTGGGAGGAGCAATCCGTCGGTGAAATACCACTACTCTTATCGTTTTTTTACTTATTCGGTGAAGCGAGCTGGACATCAAGTCCACTTTTTGGAATTAAGATCGCTCTTCTGCCGGTCGATCCGAGCCGAAGACACTGTCAGGTTGGGAGTTTGGCTGGGGCGGCACGACTGTCATATGATAACGCAGGTGTCCTAAGGTGAGCTCAATGAGAACGGAAATCTCATGTAGAATAAAGGGTAAAAGCTCACTTGATTTTGATTTTCAGTATGAATACAAACTGTGAAAGCATGGCCTATCGATCCTTTAGTCTTTATGAGTTTTAAGCTAGGGGTGTCAGAAAAGTAACCACAGGGATAACCAATGGCTTACAAATGATCTTAGCGAACCAAGGCGTTCTTCACAACCCATCCACCCAAACTGCCTTTCTTTTAATCACCCATTTTCATTCAGTGAACATCTTTTTCGCTTTTAATCTAAGTATATTATATTAAATGCTATTGATGATATGGCAATTTTTTTTGCATTTTAATAACAACTGAATTCTGCATAACAAATCGATTTAACTATACATACTTTATACAATGTTTTTGAGATGTTTTTATACGTCATTTTCCTTGCTCTTACTTTTTTTGTTTTTCTTTCATGGTGGTTGATCTTCTTCGTCTTTGTCCTCGTCAAACACGCTTTCAAGTCTTTTCCTTGCTGTGTTATTACATCTTTTTTTCGTTGTTTCTCCTACAATGTTTTTTTGTGAGGAACTTTTTCATTTCTTTGATGTCTTTCTTACGTTTGACGTCTGCATCAGATTGATTTTCAGCTGCCACCAATCCAGCGTATGATTCGTGGTTTCGTATTAATGTTCTAGCTACAATTATGTTGCAGCTCATAGCAAACAGGGCACCACCATATTTGAACATTGAATCGGCAATTTTATCAAGCTCTGCATCTTCTTTGTATAAAAATTTAACAAAGCAATGACATTATCTTTAGTTGGCTTCTCGTCTGAATCTTTTTCAGTAGTTTTAGGTCGTCTTGAATCAGAAAACTTTTCAGCAAAAGCTTGTAGAAACTTTTCGTTAAGTATATCGCTGTATTTACTTCCATTTTCATCAAATAACTTTGCATTCTCAAAATGGTTGCAGCTGTTTCTGATACTGCGACTTTCGGACGAATGAGCCATTCACAATTAAAAGGCTTTATTCTTCGTATGACTGTTTCTTCAGATGGAGCATCATCAGCTTCATAAGGTCTGATAAAGTGCCTAACGAATTGGTTGAAGAAACCAACTCCTTTGGGAGATCAGGCGATTTCAGTGGTGAGTTTGATCTGTTGGTTGCCATAATACTTCTTAAGCTGTCTTTAACAATTCTTTAATAAACCTTGAGAGATCTTGCTTCTGTGAAGAATCTTTGCCAATGAGGGAATGCTTTTTGATATTTCCTAAGTTTTGATCCAAATGTCGGACCTCTGAGTAAACCTCTATTTTAGCCAATGAAATCACAGTTATTTTTCATATATAAGGAGCAGTTATCCTGATAATTATCATTGAGTATTGTGCTTTACTCAAGACAAGACGTGTATTGCGAGTTTGGTTTCTTATTAGTTTAGTAAAGTGAGGAAAGTTCTTGTTGAAATATTCGAATAGTCAATGTGAAAAGTCCACTTAATAATGAGCAATTTGTTAGTTCTACTTATCACTTTTTCCTGCATGGACAACATAGATTTGGAGATAAGGAATATTTGACATTCTTAGATCATATCAGACATTGGCAACCAGAGCAAAGTTTTGGACGAGTTCCAAAGGGAAATGGTCATATGTGTAGATGGACAAATGTGTGAAGAAAAGTTAATGGCCCAATTCATGCAGTCAGAAAATGTTACACTTTTGACAAATTTCCAACAATGCTGCAAACTACTTAAATACTTTAATAGTGAAGTCGATTTTTGCTCAAGATGAACCATTAGCTCATATTTCTTTCGATGGTCAAACCAATCTTTTGCCTGTTTTCAAAAGAATGAGAGTAATAATTACCCAAAACAGAGACAAATCAAATGGTGTCATTAATGGCCAAATTGCTAGTGTACATGCGTTCCATAGCAGCACAATTTTCCTTGAATTGCCAAATAAGACAATTGTGCCAATTTATCAGGTTACAACATATACAAATAATGAGAATGTAACAAGTTATCCATTACGTATTGGGTATGCAAATACAATATGTAAATCGCAAGGCCAAACATTGTCTAATGTTATATTGTGGTTTGACTGTGAAAAAATTCCACCGGGGACGGCATATGTTGCATTGTCACGAGTACGCAAACGGGAAAATATTAAATTCTTGTTTCCATTAAAAAACTCATTTTTCACACCTGTTTTGACATAAGTGTCAAAGCTTTTATATCACATATTGATAGGGAAACATCCTTAACTTTTTATATCAGAAATTATTACTACAGTGTAAGTTTAGGTAAAAAAAGATTAAAAATTAAAAAAAATGTATAAAAAAAATAAAAAAAATTTGTAAATAAGTTGTTGCTATGAAGAAATTACAATTGTGTGAAAAAGGAAGTTAATATTTATATGTAATTGGCATTTCCCTTTAGCACATTGTTACATTTAAAAATTGTAAAAATTCATTTTCTGCTTCAGAATCTTTTTCTGGAAAGTAAAAAACAAAGAAATAAATATAAAGCACAAAATGATACACAGTTCATTAGATAATTTTTTAAAAAACACTTCAATTAATAATGTTTTCTTAATATTTAACAAGTGATGAATTTGTAATTGTTAGATTCAGAAAGGAAAAACGTCATCATTTAGTCCAGGAACACCAAAGGCTGTTTCCTATTTTAACCACTTTCCAGCAAATTTCCTTAAACCGTATGGCCTGGCTGATGATGTGCCCTCACAAGAGGTGATAATGCGATGCACGAAACCAGTAAGCAACGAGTGGTTACTGAGGCCAGCCATTGCAATGAGCGAATTTGCTGATACCATTTACCAAAACGTGTCGCTCTTGGAGAATAAAAAATTCTCTTTTATTAATCGTGGCAAACTAAATCATTTCTTTATGGAAATGAAAAAATACATGAATTCACTCGAACGGCTCAATTCAAAACAGCAGAAAATGCAACAAAAGAAGACGTGCAAAAAAATATTTTTAAGATGTTCTATAATGAAGAATCTGTTATTGCAGATACTATGCAAGAATTCTTCAAGGCTATGGAAATGCCTTTAGCTTCAGATACAGAAGAATCTCATTAACATGTAATAATGTTTAAAAAACCACAATGGAAAACATTTGCTACCATTGTTTGTTTTAAAAAATATTTTGTTGTGCCATAATATGTTATTTTTTTCCTAAACAATTTGTCATAAAATATAGATGCAATTGAGTGGTATCATTTACATTTCATTTTTGTTATTGTTGTGTTGATTATTAGTTTTGTTCCTACTGTAAGGCAGAGAAGTATTTTTCAAGAAACAACGAAGAAAAACATTATATTGTCTGCTATCAAATATGTTATTGCAAGCTCACGAATTAAGAAAAATATCATATTTCCATTTTGAACATAATAATTCATTAAAAAATAATATAAGATTACGTGAGCCTCGTCATCTAATTAGTGACGCGCATGAATGGATTAACGAGATTCCCACTGTCCCTATCTACTATCTAGCGAAACCACAGCCAAGGGAACAGGCTTGGCAACAACATTGGGGAAAGAAGACCCTGTTGAGCTTGACTCTAGTCTGACTCTGTGAAAGAACATGAGAGGTGTAGAATAAGTGGGAGGAGCAATCTGTCGGTGAAATACCACTACTCTTATCGTTTTTACTTATTGGTGAAGCGGAGCTGGACATCAAGTCCACTTTTTGGAATTAAGATCGCTCTTCTGCCGGTCGATCAGAGCCGAAGACACTGTCAGGTTGGGAGTTTGGCTGGGCGGCACGACTGTCATATGATAACGCAGGTGTCCTAAGGTGAGCTCAATGAGAACGGAAATCTCATGTAGAATAAAAGGGTAAAAGCTCACTTGATTTTGATTTTCAGTATGAATACAAACTGTGAAAGCATGGCCTATCGATCCTTTAGTCTTTATGAGTTTTAAGCTAGGGGTGTCAGAAAAGTAACCACAGGGATAACCAATGGCTTACAAATGATCTTAGCGAACCAAGGCGTTCTTCACAACCCATCCACCCAAACTGCCTTTCTTTTAATCACCCATTTTCATTTAGTGAACATCTTTTTCGCTTTTAATCTAAGTATATTATATTAAATGCTATTGATGATATGGCAATTTTTTTTGCATTTTAATAACAACTGAATTCTGCATAACAAATCGATTAACTATACATACTTTATACAATGTTTTGAGATGTTTTATACGTCATTTTCCTTGCTCTTACTTTTTGTTTTCTTTCATGGTGGTTGATCTTCTTCGTCTTTGTCCTCGTCAAACACGCTTTCAAGTCTTTTCCTTGCTGTGTTATTACATCTTTTTTCGTTGTTTCTCCTACAATGTTTTTTGTGAGGAACTTTTCATTTCTTTGATGTCTTTCTTACGTTTGACGTCTGCATCAGATTGATTTTCAGCTGCCACCAATCCAGCGTATGATTCGTGGTTTCGTATTAATGTTCTAGCTACAATTATGTTGCAGCTCATAGCAAACAGGGCACCACCATATTTGAACATTGAATCGACAATTTTATCAAGCTCTGCATCTTCTTTGTATAAAAATTTAAGCAAAGCAATGACATTATCTTTAGTTGGCTTCGTCTGAATCTTTTTTCAGTAGTTTTAGGTCGTCTTGAATCAAAGAAAACTTTTCAGCAAAGCTTGTAGAAACTTTTCGTTAAGTATATCGCTGTATTCACTTCCATTTTCATCAAATAACTTTGCATTCTCCAAAATGGTTGCAGCTGTTTCTGATACTGCGACTTTCGGACGAATGAGCCATTCACAATTAAAAGGCTTTATTCTTCGTATGACTGTTTCTTCAGATGGAGCATCATCAGCTTCGCCATAAGGTCTGATAAAGTGCCTAACGAATTGGTTGAAGAAACCAACTCCTTGGGAGATCAGGCGATTTCAGTGGTGAGTTTGATCTGTTGGTTGCCATAATACTTCTTAAGCTGTCTTTAAAAATTCTTTAATAAACCTTGAGAGATCTTGCTTCTGTGAAGAATCTTTGCCAATGAGGGAATGCTTTTTGATATTTCCTAAGTTTTGATCCAAATGTCGGACCTCTGAGTAAACCTCTATTTTAGCCAATGAAATCACAGTTATGTTCATATATAAGGAGCAGTTATCCTGATAATTATCATTGAGTATTGTGCTTTACTCAAGACAAGACGTGTATTGCGAGTTTGGTTTCTTATTAGTTTAGTAAAGTAAGGAAAGTTCTTGTTGAAATATTCGAATAGTCAATGTGAAAAGTCCACTTAATAATGAGCAATTTGTTAGTTCTAATTATCACTTTTCCTGCATGGACAACATAGATTTGGAGATAAGGAATATTTGACATTCTTAGATCATATCAGACATTGGCAACCAGAGCAAAAGTTTTGGACGAGTTCCAAAGGAAATGGTCATATGTGTAGATGGACAAATGTGTGAAGAAAAGTTAATGGCCCAATTCATGCAGTGAGAAAATGTTACACTTTTGACAAATTTCCAACAATGCTGCAAACTACTTAAATACTTTAATAGTGAAGTCGATTTTGCTCAAGATGAACCATTAGCTCATATTTCTTTCGATGGTCAAACCAATCTTTTGCCTGTTTTCAAAGAATGAGAGTAATAATTACCCAAAACAGAGACAAATCAAATGGTGTCATTAATGGCCAAAAGTGTACATGCGTTCCATAACAGCACAATTTTCCTTGAATTGCCTGACAATTGTGCCAATTTATCAAGTTACAACAAATACAAATAATGAGAATGTAACAAGTTATCCATTACGTATTGGGTATGCAAATACAATATGTAAATCGCAAGGCCAAACATTGTCTAATGTTATATTGTGGTTTGACTGTGAAAAAATTCCACGGGACGGCATATGTTGCATTGTCACGATGTAATAACGGGAAAATATTAAATTCTTGTTTCCATTAAAAACTCATTTTCACACCTGTTTTGACATAAGTGTCAAAGCTTTTATATCACATATTGATAGGAAACATCCTTAACTTTTATATCAAAAATTATTACTACAGTGTAAGTTTAGGTAAAAAAAGATTAAAAATTAAAAAAAATGTATAAAAAAAATAAAAAAAGTTTGTAAATAAGTTGTTGCTATGAAGAAATTACAATGATGATGATGATGATGAAATGATTTTCAAAACCAAGCAATGAAACGTTGTAAAACGCTCTTACGAAGCTTTCCAATCTGCTAAATTTTCATAAAAAGTAAACATAACTTCATACGAATAAGATTTCACAGAGGAAATTTCCTTGAAAATGTTATGCAAACGTTTATTAAAAATTTAAAAAATTTGCATGTTGTCGAAAATTTCATGTAAATTTGCGTGTTAGGGCTTTAATAATGCTTTCCTCCCGGTTACCCCCCATCTAATATTTAACGTTCTTTCCGAATCTGAAATCCGATTTCAAATCGGACTTGTCTCTCAAAAGTTATTAACGAAAACATTGTAGTATGACGTCATAGCTAATAACTTCCGGTTTAACAACGCTACACACTTAAAACTTTTAAAAATTGTTGAAACACATTAGGGCCATGTTCAGTCCAAATTTGAGCAAAATCGCTCAAGTATCGCTTCAGTACTAATAATTGTAGGCTATAGCTACAAATTCATAGTTATTGAACAAATGTCTATTACTTAGATTTAGAATTAACAGAGCCAATTATTGACAGAAATACTTAAATGTTTCTAAAAATCTTTTTAAAACCAAGGAATGAATCGTTCTAAAACGCTCTAACGAAGCTTTCCAATCTGTAAATTTTCATAAAAAGTAAACATAACTTCATACGAAATGAGATTTCACAAAGGAAATTTCCTTGAAAATGTTATGCAAACGTTTATTAAAAATTTTAAAAATTTGCATTTTGTCGAAAATTTCGTCTAAATTTGCGTGTTAGGGCTTTGATAATGCTTTCCCTCCGGTTACCCCCCCCATCTAATATTCAACGCTCGTTCCGAATCTGAAATCCGATTTCAAATTGGACTTGTCTCTCAAAAGTTATTAATGAAAACATTGTATTGTGACGTCATAGCTAATAACTTCTGGTTTAACAACGCTACACACTTGAAATTTTTTACAATTGTTTTGAAACATCAGGGCAATGTTCAGTTCAAATTTGAGCGAAATCGCGCATCACACGCAAAAGTTATAAAAAAAAAAAATTTTTCAGAAAAGTTATAATAATATAAGAATACTAATGGAAAAATAATATAATTTGACTTTATCAAACGCAACACTTACAAACCCAACGAACCCAAAGAAACGAACAACTCAGTGACAACAGCAACGATACCTTACATCAAAGGTACGTCTGAGACTATCTCCGCGTATCGTACGACCATACAACATACGTGTTGCACATAAACCAATCACAACGTTACGACAAGTACTAACGAACATAAAGGACAAAGAACAACCCAACGAACGACAAGGTGCAGTTTACAAAAATAAACTGCTCCGACTGCCACGCCTCCTATATCGGCGAAACTGGCAGGAACTTAAACATAAGACTTACTGAGCACAAACGAGCTACTAAGAAACAAGACAAAACTAATCACATTGCCGAACATCACCGAATCACAAAGCACAACATTGACTGGGACTCGGCAATGCATCACTTACAGTACTGACTATAGACAACGGCTTACATTAGAAAGTTGGTATACCAACTTGGAAGAAACCCCCCTGAACAGATCACAGCAATTACCGGCACCTTACAAACGACTTATTCACAATACAAACAAACGATCAACTAAAAACATTACACTTCAAACTAATTCACAATGACAATACACAATTGACACCCACACACTACAACTAAAAACGTCACACCTAAATCACACATCACAACTAAAAAAAAAAAAATAAATAAATAAAATATTTCACTTCACACTAATCCACAATGACAATACACATTTCCTGCACATTTCATGTACACACAATACAATGACGTAAGAACCAGACAACAAATACAGCTAACCTGACGTTTACTCCTCATTTCACTCTGAAGATGACTACCGCTAAGGTTGTCGAAACGTCAGTCAACAACAACAAAAACAGTCCTTCTCAGGACTTTATTAACCTGGACGATCATCATTTACAAACATATAAGAATTTATGTATTGGTCGTTTTTAATAACACACGCCTTTTATAATAATCAAATCTTTCCAATCCCAAACCTTCCCACCCTGCTTCACTTCCAACAACATCCATGGTTTTGTTTTGCTTGGGTCATCATTACCACGAATTATTTAACAAAGCCAACACGTAATCTTATATTATTTTTTAATGAATTATTATGTTCAAAATGGAAATATGATATTTTTCTTAATTAGTGAGCTTGCAATAACATATTGGATAGCAGACAATATAATGTTTTTCTTCGTTGTTTCTTGAAAAATACTTCTCTGCCTTACAGTAGGAACAAAACTAATAATCAACACAACAATAACAAAAATGAAATGTAAATGATACCACTCAATTGCATCTATAATATTTTATGACAAATTGTTTAGGAAAAAAATAACATTATATTATGGCACAACAAAATATTTTTTAAAACAATGGTAGCAAATGTTTTCCATTGTGGTTTTTTAAACATTATTACATGTTAATCAGATTCTTCTGTATCTGAAGCTAAAGGCATTTCCATAGCCTTGAAGAATTCTTGCACAGTATCTGCAATAACAGATTCTTCATTATAGAACATCTTAAAAATATTTTTTTGCACGTCTTCTTTTGTTGCATTTTCTGCTGTTTTGAATTGAGCCGTTCGAGTGAATTCATGTATTTTTTCATTTCCATAAAGAAATGATTTAGTTTGCCACGTTTAATAAAAGAGAATTTTTTATTCTCCAAGAGCGACACGTTTTGGTAAATGGTATCAGCAAATTCGCTCATTGCAATGGCTGGCCTCAGTAACCATTCGTTGCTTACTGGTTTCGTGCTTCGCATTATCACATCTTGTGAGGGCACATCATCAGCCAGGCCATACGGTTTAAGGAAATTTGCTGGAAAGTGGTTAAAATAGGAAACAGCCTTTGGTGTTCCTGGACTAAATGATGACGTTTTTCCTTTCTGCATCTAACAATTACAAATTCATAACTCGTTAAATATTAAGAAAACAGTATTAATTGAAGTGTTTTTTAAAAAATTATCTAATGAACTGTGTATCATTTTGTGCTATATATTTATTTCTTTGTTTTTTACTTTCCAGTAAGAAATTCTGAAGCAGAAAATGAATTTTTACAATTTTTAAATGTAACAATGTGCTAAAGGGAAATGCCAATTACATATAAATATTAACTTCCTTTTTCACACAATTGTAATTTCTTCATAGCAACAACTTATTTAGAAATTTTTTTAATTTTTTTATACATTTTTTTTAATTTTTAATCTTTTTTTACCTAAACTTACACTGTAGTAATAATTTTTGATATAAAAAGTTAAAGATGTTTCCCTATCAATATGTGATATAAAAGCTTTGACACTTATGTCAAAACAGGTGTGAAAAATGAGTTTTTTAATGGAAACAAGAATTTAATATTTTCCCGTTTGCGTACTCGTGACAATGCAACATATGCCGTCCCCGGTGGAATTTTTTCACATTAAAACCACAATATAACATTACACAATGTTTGGCCTTGCGATTTACATATTGTATTTGCATACCCAATACGTAATGGATAACTTGTTACATTCTCATTATTTGTATATGTTGTAACTTGATAAATTGGCACAATTGTCTTATTTGGCAATTCAAGGAAAATTGTGCTGTTATGAAACGCATGTACACTAGCAATTTGGCCATTAATGACACCATTTGATTTGTCTCTGTTTTGGGTAATTATTACTCTCATTCTTTTGAAAACAGGCAAAAGATTGGTTTGACCATCGAAAGAAATATGAGCTAATGGTTCATCTTGAGAAAAAATCGACTTCACTATTAAAGTATTTAAGTAGTTTGCAGTCAGATGCATTGAAATTTTGGGCTGAAGAAAACAGTTTCTACATTTGTGATAATTGCAATTCTGTTGTAACAGTGAACTTACCTTACAATTTAAAAAAAAAATTAAAACCTAGAGAAAAAAACAAATGTAACTGCAGGTCAACAAGATACTTTGTACCTCGATATAATTGCATACCAAACATATTATTGAATCTTTCTATAGAAAATATAAAAACATTAAGACCATTTGATATAGACTGTGGATTTTATAGCAGACAAAGCCAAGGATATAGGGTTAAAACAGGCATGATCACCTTGAAATTATCAACATCAGTCAATGAAAAAATTAGAAGTTTGTCTTGCCCAATTGAGAAGGAAAAATGCCAGCAAGCTTATGAATATTTGATGTCGTCGAACACATCACATTATTCTCACTTTATACAATTACAAAATGACAAATTAAGAAGTGGTGAAACGATCAATTGCTATGACTTTTTTTTAACTGAAGGAATAGAATGCGCTCTTTGGCCTAACATTTATCCATTTTCTTCATGGTGTGAGAGCATAATTTGTGGCAAGGAAAGTCGCTTAAGTATGAAAGCTTCATTTTGTGCAAAATTATTTTCAGAGATTTTAGATTATGGGCTACATTTTGATTTACTTCAATGGCAATATGAAAGAGCTCTATACAAAGTTGTTAGTGGCAGGGGCGGATCTAGAGTATGTCAAATCCGTCGCGCGACTGATGTTTGAAATTCAAAAATTACCTATTCATATTAATTAAAAATTCATTAATTATTCTTATTTTCTCATCGCATTTACTTCGTGGTAAAAATCCCGCATTATTTATTATTGAAAACTAATGACTAATCCAATGAATATCTCGTTGGTAACCAGATCAGTTGAATTTTAATTGACCTGGAATAACCGACTGATAAGCGGGGTGGCTTGACTGGTTCGACGAATAAAGGAGTCTATGAACGTCAAAAACGCTTATTTTATTGGTCAATAGCCAGATCAGTGGACAGTCTGGAATGGTCTCAACTGATAATAAGGGTGGCGGACGTATAAGGAGTCCAATTGCTATCTTACAATTGGTTCATTTGAATTTTGCTTTAGTGTGATTGGTTTGACGGATTTCGACTGATAGCCAACTGAACTAACATAGTCAAGCTCGCTGTCTGAATTGAATGTTTGATCGTTTTATAGTAATTTTTATAAGCATGATAGAAACTAAACTACAATCAGATGGAATTGATGGAAATCTTTTACAAATTCATATATTGACATGAATGCTGCTGTCCAAAATGTGAATTTTTTCAAGAGGGTGGAAATTTATGGATAAATTTATAATTATATAATTAAAGACATGTTGGTTACATTCTGTTTGTATTTGCAAATACAATGCTACTAGTGATTGCTATATAGCACACCTTGCATATACTTACAGGAGATAATAGTCTAGTGAAATGCCTAATAAACATTTATGGCATTAAGCTGTCCTTAACTGCAAATTTTCACTCTGATAATTTTTGCTTAACCTTTGGCAGAAAAAAATTTTGAGTTTTTTCTCAAAAGGTGAATTTGCTGGCACTGATGTGGAGATGGGTAAAGGGTTACAATAAACTTGCATGGTTTGAAGTCTGAGCTTTTCTATATCTATGAACTGTCACTTGTAGTACCAAAATTCTAACTTAACTAAACTCATTACATAGAGGTTTGAATGGGGGTCTCTAGGGAGGTCTATGCCTGACAACTTGGTAGAAATTTTTAAAGACTATATCTGTTTTTGAATAGCATTATTGTAAAATAAATTTTACGTTCCTAGACATGCTAATGAGCCATATATTTGGCATGATAATGAGCCTAAATATTTGGCAAAACATTCAAGTATTGTTCACTTCATTTTTTTTTTTGAAAAAAACGTAAGCAAAATGTGTTGTTTTTACGCAAAAACGATGCCCACAAATAAATTTTGCTCTAAAACGCTGAAAATGGCATTTTCAAGGCTCTGAAATTCAAAATTTCTCAGGGGATAATGCCTCAGACCCCCCAGGCGCCTTCGACGTTTTATGACTGATGTTTGAAAAATCCTAGATCCGCCCCTGGTTAGTGGTGCAATAAACACAGCACGTTATCGCAATTGTTCTCCTGCAAGAGCACTAGACACAAAAACGTTCTCTCCCACTTACTGGCAATGGCAGCATTTATACCTTTTAGATGCCATTGAACAATTTAGCCTTCCTAGTGTCTTCATCACGATAAGTCCATATGAATGGACTTTTCCTTTTGCTCGTTGGATATCAGCAATCAGATATGAAACTGGGTTAGATGCAACACAATTACCTGCATTTGAAACTTTTCATATAGCTCATGTTTTAGAGCAAATAATACGTGGTTATCTTACTGGCAGCAATTGTAATAAGTGGTCGTAACATGTCTTTAGCTACAACAGGAGCAGTTCTCAGCAAAATATAAACACATACTTTTATAGATTTGAATTTCAGAAAAGAGGAACTTTACATGTTCACATGCTTATTTGGCTTAAGGATTTAACTAAAATGCAACACCATCTAGTTCGTGCTGACATCCCTGAAAATAATACAGAACTTTCTTTTCTAGTTCATAAATTGCAACCTTCTGATAAAGCTTGTGATTGCTCAAATTTACAGGAACAAGACAGTTATATTGCAACAGATAATGATAGACAAATTCATCATATTAAACATCCAGCAGAAGCGTTTGTATTGAATCTCAGAGCTTATATAGCAACTCTTATTCCTGCATTGAAGTGCCTCATGGACTACCAAACAACAAATGGAGTTGCAATGCTTCTTAAATATGTAACATCGTATGTCACAAAATTTCAGGATAGTACAGCATTAGATAGCATTTATTCTTATCATTTAAATGGTAGACTAGCTGCAACAAGATATTTGATGCAAAATAATCCTACTGAACCAGAAATGTACTTTTTTTTGCAATCAAAGAAAATAGCATGGACAAATTGTCGAACGAAACGGTATACAGTTCCAACTAGTGGTAAAGTGCTTGAAGACAAAACAGCAATTAAGTATTGGCAACGAGGAGCACAATTAATAGACATGTCAATGACATTGTGGCTAAGAAAACATGAAACAAATTCGAGAACCCCAAAAATTTACAAACGAGGGTCAACCTTAGTAGGATTTAAAATGCCCTCTATTTTTAACTAACAATTTTTCTTTCAGTACGTATTCATCAACTTGCCACATAGACAATTGTCAGATATTGTAAGCCCTAGCATGAACAATTACCTGATGAGCTAAAGTGGTTTGTAGCTGCCACATTTCATTTTGCAAACCTTTGGAAAAATAATGAAAAGATAGCTAAATATTTGTCAGTCCAAGGTCATAAGGAAAGTTTTATTTCCACAGTATTATCATACATATGTAGTTTAAATGACATGTATTACCTTTGGCAAATGAATATCATTAAAACAAGACAAGTTGCATTGCAACAACTATCATGTGACTCAATAGATTTTGCACTTGATTCATGGCAAGCAGCAGCATCTGCACACGTAAAAAGAGCAGTTTCCACTAGGGATTTATATTATAGATCCAGTTTTACAAATAGATGTGAACTTCAACAGCAAATTTCAGGTGGTGAAGATAGTGATTTGGAAGATGAATGTTGCATTAACAACACATTTCAACAAATTAACAATGAATTTTTAGCAACTCCTACAAATCACTATCATTATGAAAGTTTAAATTCAACATTGTCAGAATACTCGAGTGAACAACAATTTCTATGGCAAAAGCCAATTCTAATTCAAGGAAAAGCAGGACGTTGTAAGACGGAGACATTGATGTGTTGCATTAAAGAGCATGTACGCAGTGGCAAAAATATACTTGTGGCAGCACCTACTGGACTTTTGGCTAGTCGATTTAGATCTCGCGTGGCTGTTAATGTTATATGTGACACAGTTCATGCTGCTTTCAATGTACCAATTGATGTGGAAGAAGTACCAACCACAAATTGGGCAATATCATATTATGATATCGTCATTATTGATGAAATTTCACAAATCTCAGAGAAAATTTTCGCACACATAATGGACACCTTTAATAGATTAGTTTACAGGCCTGTTTTGATTTTGGGTGGCGATAACTCTCAACAGCAGCCTTTTGAGAAAAAAGATGGAATAATAGTTAATGTACCATCACCTTTATCTAACAGTCAATTTGTTTCTTCGACATATCACTTCATTTTACATGGACAACATCGTGTGGGTGATGTAGAATATCTTCAATTTTTGGATCATATAAGAAATTGGCGTCCAAATCAAGAAATTCTAAATAATATACAGCATAACCGTGTCATATTTCCACATGGAAACATTACACCTACTGAATTTATGAATTCTTTCATTGAAAACATGGATTCAACAATTCTAACTTTTACAAATTCAGCTGCAGATTATTTAAATAACTTGGTTGTTACATCACTTTTTTGCAATGAAAATGCATTAGGTTATTTTCATCTGGACAACACGGACGAAGCTTTTCCAATTTACAAAGGAATGAAGGTTATCATTTCACAAAATTGCAATAAAGAAGCAAATGTTGTAAATGGGCAAATGGCTTATGTTGAAACATGTCAAAATCACACTATTTTCCTCAAAATGCCAAATAACATCATTGTGCCAGTGTATCAAGTTACGTCTGAAGTTAATGGACAACAAAAAGTCTCATTTCCCTTTCGTATAGGATACGCTATAACTATAAGCAAAAGCCAAGGACAAACACTTTCAAAATGTACTATTTGGTTTGATAAGGATATCATACCACCTGGTACTGGTTATGTAGCTTTATCAAGGGTTCGAAAGTTAAGTGATGTACTCGTTGTCACACCTTTAAAACCATCCTTCTTCACACCAGTTGTCTGTAGCTAAAAATGAATATAATTTAATTGTTAATTCAAGAATAATCTAAAAAAAAATTTTGCAAAAAAATCTAAAAAAAACAAAAACAAATAAAAAAAAGTACTGGAAAATTGTTTAAAAGTACTGTTCAAAAACTTTTCATGTTTGTTATAAAGAAAGGAAAAAAACTTTGAGTAATTCCAAAATAAGTTCAAAAAAATTAAAGAAAACAGAAAAATGTAAATATGTTTGGTTGTTAAATAAGAAATATAAAAATAGATTTTGTGTTGAAAAAAATTGAAAAATGAAAAAAATTAAAAAAGTTAAAAAAATTAAAAATATATATAACATAAGACAAGTTTTATTTAAAAAATTGAATTATTTGCAATTGTTAATTTGTGGCAGTTTGTCTGTATATATATATATGTTATAAATGCAAAAAGAGATCTTGAGAATCATACTAATATATGTTGTTTTGATTAAAAGTGCGTTATATATGGCGCGCCGATACAGACAAAAATACTTCACAAAAGATCAAACTTCTATTTCAAATTTATTACTATGTTTGATATAAAATTATAGTACTTCTGAAAAGTTTAATACTTTATTGCTGCCTGCAGTACGCCACATGTAATTTTTTGTAAAACTTCATGTTGTCGAATTTCGATGTAAGTTGTAAGATGGCGGACAAAATGATAGACAAACTAATCGAGGCGGTTAAAGCCATAAAAGAAAACCCTTCTGTTGAAGAAAATATGAAGAAAGAAGATTCAAAAATATCAACAGAGGAAGCTCTTGGTAATTTATTTCCAAGCATAAGTGCTGCTTCATCTAGTCGTCAAAGTGAATTAACTTATGGATATAATCCAACTTAAGCTAACTACGTACCAAAGAAAGGCTTTAAACGATATGGCTCCTCTTCATCTTCATCATGTAGTCATACAAAAAGGAAACCAACTGAAGTAAAGTTGAAGTACCAGCTCAAGGACTTTTTTTTACTACCAGGTCCCCAGGTGCAGACTGTGCCCCGAGGTTGTTTTAGGGAGTACCTTTATGCAAATGGTTTTGCTGAGTCAGCCGTGGCAGTCGATGATGAAATGTCGGAGGATGACGTCAAGAGCAAAATATTGTGCATTTTTAAAGAGAAACTTGCTAGGTTAACTACTCATGAAAATAATTTTGAGTTTGTTCGAGAATAATTTTGAAATAGTTAAAGTAAATAATGGGCCTTTCACGGGAAAACTTTTGAAGCATATTTCCAAACAGGGACCAGTTTATGTTAGAACACTGGTGGCAGTACCAGGTGCTGGTTTAAAAGGATGGAGAGCTGACAAAAGTGAAGACTCAAGTGATGATGATTTCTTAATGTCACCAACATTTGAAATGAAAAATGACATAAAGTCAGATGTTAAGCAATCTATGCTTCCACGTATTGAAGTCATAGACTGTGACAAGGAAGATAATGATGGGAAACAAGAGCAAATTGATTCGAAAACATCTTTGGCTCAATCACATTTCATTGCATCTGGGTAATTTATTATAGCAGTTTCTATAATTTTTTCAAGTAGTTGCTATTGAGTTGAAGTCATGTTTTTAGTGAGAAAATCATAGTATGATGTAATGATACTATGCCCAACAATATTGACCTGCTCACCACTGTGTGACTTCATAGCTCAGTTGGTCAGAGCACTGCACCGGCACCGCAGAGGTCATGGGTTCGAATCCCATTGAGTCACCTGATTTTTTCAGGTCCTGAGACGATTGCTTAAATTGTCCAGCAAAGTGCGAAGATCATATCTTCATTTAATTTCAAACACCGCACTGCATAAAACATTCGTGCAGCATTACTTTCACGAGAAAACAAGAGCCCAACAATATTGACCTGCTCACCACTGTGTGACTTCATAGCTCAGTTGGTCAGAGCACTGCACCGGCACCGCAGAGGTCATGGGTTCGAATCCCGTTGAGTCACCTGATTTTTTCAGGTCCTGAGACAATTGCTTAAATTGTCCAGCAAAGTGCGAAGATCATATCTTCATTTAACTTCATTTAATAAACAATATATTGTTGGGAAATCTTTTTGAAAAAAATTGAAGGTGTGTATTTTATTTATGTCACAATTGTTTTTAAGTCTTCATTATCATCAGTCGCCCAGTTGCAGCGATACATATTGCTGAACCTTCTGATGAAGAAATTCTACACCAAAATTTGTGTTATTTTTTAGACAATGAGATGTTCTACCAGACTGAAGAAAAATCAATAATTGTTCATTTTGAGCATTTGTTACAGTTTACGACTGGTTCAGAGTCCACCCCACCAACTGGATTTGAAAATTCCTTAACAATAACATTTTATGATCAAGATGGGAAAACTAGGTATCCATATTCTTCCACTTGTGCCATGTCACTTGCACTACCAAGAGGACATGAAGACCCAACTATGTTTGAGGAACTTCTTCTAAGATCTTTATTTGACTCATGCAGTTTTTATAAAATTTGACATTGCTTTGATACTCAAACATTTTGACTTGTTTTAGCACTGTTCTTGTTAAAAGTTAAGGAACTAAGATTTGTTATGTTCGCTAAATTGGTTTCCAAACAGGATTAGTTAAATATTTGCATACTTTTTACTATGATAAGTTATGTTTGTGTTGATATGGCTGAAGTGATTGACCTTATTATGTTATAATTCAATAGTTGCAAAGAAAAAACTATTTACTGCCGTCTGTCTAATATTTCTGATAACACATTTTGCACTTGTTCATACAATGAAATGCCATAATTGTCATCATCATCCAATGGGTTCAATCTTAGAGTTACTTCATGAAGCTCGTGGTCATCTAGCTCTATTGCAGATCTAGGTACCTCTACAAAGTTTGCAGTTTGAATTTCAGGCATCGGTCCATTGTCATCAACACCATATTCACAGTCAACTAAGTTTTCATGTAGCATTTCTTGGACTGTGCTGTAATCTGAAAGCGCATTTTGGTAAAATCCTCTGGTCCAAAGTTGTAAAGGTGATTGTCCATGCTCACTGGACAATGGGTGGTTATTCCATTGCATTGTAAAGATGTTTAATGACTTGTTTACACGAGGCAAAAATATATAGTGCAAAGCAAACAAATGAAATTCATTGTCTGGATTTAACAATTCATTAGATTCCATGTAATAGAAGATGTTCTTATATATTGAAACAACATAGGAGTTAACATCATGCCAAAGACGCTCAATGCGCTGATTATGAACAGATTGTCCAGTAAAAACAGGTTTGCTAGACAGACCATGACGATTAAGCATATGCCTAGCCACAGCAATATTTTCTGTTCCATAATCTGTTCTAATTCTACGTGGATAGTGAAACTTAGTCGTGGCATCAAGGAATAGATCAAGAACAGTGGAAGCTTTATTGTTACACGAAGCTTTTAAAAAGACAACTGCACGAGAGTATCCATCTACACAACCATGGATAACAATTCGCCATCTTATTAGTTTATGCTGGCCATCCAGATGCCTAGAAAGAAAAAAAATTAAGTATAAGCTTCCTGAAAGTCTTGCTCCAGCAAGAATTTTACTCACCATAAAGAATTTGGCGTTGGTACATTGTATAGTCTTCTTTTTGTTATTTTTCTGCACCTCAACATCCGGCTATCAGGATCGATCCTCCAAATCGACTGACGCACTCTCCACCTCTGTACAAAAAATCTCTGTGCTCTGATGTAACCCAAAACCATTCTTTCACCTGAATTAGGTGAAGCAGATAAAGCAGCCTTCACAATATCATCTAGCTGATCGTCTGACACTTCAATATATTTATTACCGGTGGATTGAATACCGTAGGCATCCCTCCTACGCATTATTGTCTTTTCTGACACACCTAGCATAGTTGCTACGGTTTTCCATGAAAAACCAAGAGATCTCAATCCTTCTAATTGCTCTTTTGGTATCAATAGCTGGGGACGGCCTCGTCCTTCGCTGCAAACGTTAGGACAATTATATTCTAGGTCATCATATACAGATGTTTCAAAACGATCCATTAACCGATGCACAAGGCATTGAAACATGTAGATTAGAGTAGCTATGGTTTCGATCATATTTGCATCTTGTAGTAAAGTATTGCGAAGATGGCCAAATGAAATAACTATAGTCGTGACAAATTGTTCTGTCTGCATATTAAGATGTTCAGCCTCCACAAAGGTAGCCGAAAACATACTTCGCTTTATTTCTTGATACAGCTCTTTCCCATGTTCCAGAATATTTATAAAATCACTAACTCCACCGTTCTCGCGATCGAGGATTTCAATGTCTTCCGCCATCTTACAACTTACATCGAAATTCGACAACATGAAGTTTTACAAAAAATTACATGTGGCATACTGCAGGCAGCAATAAAGTATTAAACTTTTCAGAAGTACTATAATTTTATATCAAACATAGTAATAAATTTGAAATAGAAGTTTGATCTTTTGTGAAGTATTTTTGTCTGTATCGGCGCGCCATCGTTATAAGAGTAATATAATATTCTTAAAATTATAGAAGTATACAGAGTGTACATAACATTTACATGTTTCCTTTCCTCTTTTCAAAATTCTGTAACCATTTATATAGGTTTATAAACATATAACTAATGCCAATTAGATAGAATTTAATGTCAATTATTGCTCGCACGCATTCTACCACTTTTACAAATTATAAAATAACATAATAACATGACAGTTAAAATTATGTAATGGAACCCAGTGAAAAATGTTGCAGTTTTGTTGTTGCAATAAAAGAACTTTTTAATATATTTCAGAATATGTATAGAAGTAAACAGGTGGCAACACTAACACCAACTAAAAGCAAAGCAATTAGTTACTTCAACCATTTTCCTTCAAATTTACTGGTGCCTTATGGAATTGCAGCTGATGCTCCAGATTCCAACAAAATCAGAAAAAGAGCCAATCAAAGATCTTGCGAGTGGCTTGTTCGCCCGGAATTTGCCATGAGTGAATTTTGTGCCACAGTATTCAACAACGTCTCGTTCCTGCAAGAAGAGGACATTCCATTCATCCAAAAAAGCAATCTACTCCATTTCTTCGATAAAATAGCTAATTACATGCCAGCTATGGATAAACTTAACAAAAAAACAGAAAGCATACGTTGTAATGAGGATGTTAGACAAATTTTAAAATTTCCTTTCAATGAAGATGAACAAATCGAATCAACCATGGCACACTTTTTCAAAGTAGGTCGTGCAATGTTTCTTGTATCGATACATTACCTTGTTGCTCAAGAATTACTTTCGAATCCCAAGGAATTTTCAATGACCTTGGCAACTGCAGACGATAAAAGATGCGAAGAATTCAAAGCAAAAGGTGAAATTAAAACTATGCAAAAAATGTTTGTTAAGCTGTGTATAACAGATGAAAGTCTCCCAACATCGACATCAATGTCATCATCGTCAATTTCATCACGCAAACGTCTGCTTGATGAACTTGACGAAACCCCAACAACGGCACATCACATAGAAACAGCAAGCGTGAACACTTCATATTCAGATGATGACAGTCAAATAGATGTGTTACTTCCACCACCTTCAAAACGAACAAAAGAACAAGTAAAGGTGCCTGAAAAAGAAAAAGCCAAGAAGTCCAAAAAAGGAAAAAGGTCCCATAAAGCAAAAAAGTCCAAATTATAAATGCATGTAATGAGAAAAATATAGTTAAAATACGTTCGGTTTTAAATACAATACAGAATTATTTCTTTTCTTTACCACTTTCTATTTAACAACATTGTTACTAACTTTAAAAACAAATAAGAAAGATTTAACGTTACTTGAAAGGACATAAAGACATCGTTCTTCAAAAATTTTGTGAAAAAGTTATCAACAATATCGTTATGTTATTAAGAACAACAAATATGAGTGTATTTTAATAATGAAGCAGGGTGGGAGGGAGGCTTTGAAACAATGAATTAATATTGAAGACTTCGGTTATCCATGTGGTAACTTTTCTGACACCCCTAGCTTAAAACTCATAAAGACTAAGGGATCGATAGGGCATGCTTTCACAGTTTGTATTCATACTGAAAATCAAAATCAAGTGAGCTTTTACCCTTTTATTCTACATGAGATTTCCGTTCTCATTGAGCTCACCTTAGGACACCTGCGTTATCATTTGACAGTCGTGCCGCCCAGCCAAACTCCCAACCTGACAGTGTCTTCGGCTCGGATCGACCGGCAGAAGAGCGATCTTAATTCCAAAAAGTGGACTTGATGTCCAGCTCCGCTTCACCGAATAAGTAAAAAAACGATAAGAGTAGTGGTATTTCACCGACGGATTGCTCCTCCCACTTATTCTACAACTTTCATGTTCTTTCACAGTCAGACTAGAGTCAAGCTTAACAGGGTCTACTTTCCCCGCTGTTGTTGCCAAGCCCGTTCCTTGGCTGTGGTTTCGCTAGATAGTAGATAGGGACAGTGGGAATCTCGTTAATCCATTCATGCGCGTCACTAATTAGATGACGAGGCATTTGGCTATTTATTTACTTTAACTTAATTAATTTGCTTTATATAATTTTGCGATCCTTAACTTTTCAGTGGATGTCAATATCGATATTTGTGAGTTTCCAATTAATGGGAGGCTGGTTTTAAAGGAAAACGGTGGCTGGTCTTTAGGGGTCTAGCACTCTGCTTTTTCCTTCTACCTTCTATGTAGATAGTAGTTCTTCCAATGATGATTTGTTCTTTCATTCCGTTTACTTTTCGCAAGAGGCTGCCAAAACCTTTTGTGCACACCACTCCATAACCTTACGCCTGCTACCAAATAATTGGCGAGGGCAGCTATTGTCCCGCCTCCTTTAAAGATGTAGTTTTAAGTGAGTCTCCACTCAGTGGTGATAGATGGAATATCAAACCTTGAGTGGCGAGGTCGGGTACATCAGCTCCGCCTCCTTTAACCATCCACCATTTTAGTTGAGATCTTGGATCGCTTTCCAAATGCCCAAAAACCATAAGACATAAAAAAATAGAAGTACATGCAATCTAGTTGACTCTCGCCGCAAGTAGACCCACAAAACAGGCAGGAGAAGAACGAAACCAGAACGACGCCAAATAATAAAGATATAAACCTAACCTAAATTACAAAATCCTAATTAAAAGCTAAAGCATTGGGCCCATTTTGCCGGCTGCGCATTAATTCACCCTCGATGCCACTCTACCAATCACTCTGCCTTACTGTGGAACTGTGGAAGAACCTGTGTATCCTTGATGTTTCCTCACAAATCCTTAGGGAAAGAAGTGAAATACTCGCATTGGACAATTTCAGAACAGACTTCAAGAAGTCTGCACTGAGAGGTGACAGCACACCCCGCCAGTTGGCGGCAACCGCAGAGAAGGAAATATCGGATACTCCAGTTACCTGTTGCACCCATTCCCTAATCTCCGGCTGGTCATAATAGGCGACCTTATCTCGATGTGCCTTGACTCCCCCGACCTGGTCGGAAGTGACCGTGATGTCAGCGACGAAAGCCCTTTCCCTGTCCCAAAGGACAAGGTCAGGCTTCCGCACGACCAGAGTACGCCCAACAATCCTAGGCTCGACCATGACAGAGAAGCCAGCTCGCTCAGCCGCAGCCGAGCTAAACTGAACAACCCTATCATGCCTACGAATCCTAGGACCGCTGGTTCTAGCACATACTTGAATTATGTGCTGAGTCGTCTCCGGGCGCATGCATGCATCACAGAGTCTATCTCCCCCAGGTCTACCACGCGAATTGCGTGACTTACTTGGGAGGAGCCCACCTCTAGCCTTGATCGCAGCGATGAAGTTGGCCCCAGAAATATTCCGGGGGGGACTACTTACCCAGCGACTTCCCTGCGGGCATGCCCGTGCCTCCGACAAACCTCTCCCATCCACCTTGGTGTGCAGCACAGCAGCCCAAGCATTAAGCAAGGACTGCTTGTCGGTCACCAAGTGCCCTGCCAGAGTGGTATTGGCGGTTTGACTCATCAATTTTTGAAAGAAAGATGAGCCAAATAGGGCTTGTGAAATGGGATTAGCAGCCGAAAGGACGTTGTCATGTCGCCTCCTCTTCATTACAGGGATGGTATATCGTAATGAAGAGATACCGAGGCCACCATCAGCAATACCCGCATAGAAGAAAGCCACTGGAGTGTCACCTAGCAATTTCAACCATTGGCGTAAGTTGGCTCTAATGCTGGGATCGAGCCACTTTAACCACCCATGGCCTACTGGTGCCAACACGAGTTCGTGCAAATACTTGGGTATCAGGAACTGTTTTAATATCGTTAACCGCTGGTGGGGTTTCAACGTAGCTTCGGTGATGTTACGAAGTCCCCCCACCAGGTCGGATCTCAGGTCTTTTCGGAGTCTCGCTCCACTTGCACTCAACATTATACCCAAATATCTGTACTCCCCCGTTGCAGTCAATGATGGAATAAGACCGCTGTTGGTCGCCAGGAAAGGAGTTCGGTGTACGACCCATCGCTTGGCTTTCCCATCAATAATACAGCTGAGAGAGGCTGATTTTCCCTCACTCCCAGCACTGATGATGAGTCCACCTGCTGCAAGATGAGACTCCAACCTCCACAGTTGTTTCCGGAGGCCATTCCGAGTCTCACCAAGCAGCAAGATGTCGTCGGCATATCCGAGGTTATTAATTCAAATATTGCCGAACGAGAACCCCAGGTGGTTGTCCAATGAAGAGATTGCCCAGTCTAAGACTGCATTAAATAGAAAAGGTGACAACGGATCACCCTGCTTAACCCCTCTGTTGACATGGATGGGGTCACTCCTTTTCCCGTTATGCTCAAGCACTGTACTAGATCTCAAGTACAGTTCCTGGATGTAGGAAAGGAAAGGATCTGGACAGCCAAGACGACGCATTGCTGAAAGAATGGTGTCATGAGTGACCGAATCAAATGCCTTGCTCACATCCAGGAATACCAAGTGGAGAGGTGTTAGATTCCCCTTGGCACTATCTATGATAGCCTGTACTGAGAGTACATGCTGAGCAATCCCATCACCAGTTCGAAATCCCTTTTGGGTGTAATTTAAGGGAATCGTTGCATCACATCTATGAGCCATAACCATATGGAAGACTCGCAGAATGTGAGAGGCAATGGTGATGGGTCGGTAATTAAGAGGATTACCAGACTCGGAGCCCTTCGGTAAAAACACAGTCCTCCCAGCACATAATGGGCTGGGTTGGCTTCCACAAAGCAGCCATAGATTGAAATGGCTGCATAGGACATCTGCTCCAAGTCCAACGATATCCCTCATCCTTATCCCATCGGGGCCAGGCGCTGAATCAGCACCTGCCGATAACACCTTCAAGATCTCATCAGGTGTCACCTGAACAACAAGTGACCATTGCACCCCTCCAATGCAATCGGCATGTCGTGTATCTTTGATAGATGGTGTTTCAAAGATAGGCTGCCAGGTTCTTCGGAACTCGTCGACAGAAGGTGTGGATAATGGTTCAGGATTTCTCCATGAACCATCCAACACCTTGTGCGCTGCCGCAGATGGTTTTCGGGCATACAGATGCTGTATAGCACTGTATTGCGCACGTCTACGTCGGCGTTGGTCTAGAGAACGCTGAGGGTGGACACAATTTAGACTGGGGGGCTGCGTGCATGCAACTGAATCTGACAAACGAATTGCTAACTCCATTCGCTTCCCTTTCAACAGTTTCACGTACTTTTTCTCTTTTCAAAGTCCTTTTCATCTTTCCCTCACGGTACTTGTTCGCTATCAGTCTGCCCATATTTAGCTGTAGATGGAGTTTACCACCCATTTTGGGCTGCATTCCCAAACAACCCGACTCTTTGAAAACACCTCGCAAACACAAGGGCTTTGCCACGTGGGGTTGTCACCTCTATGACGTGCTGTTCCAAGCAACTTAGGCAGGCCCGACGTGCGGAAAGTATTTCTCGAAACTACAATTCGCCATTGCAACACAATGGAGATTTTCAATTTGAGCTATTCCCTCTTCATTCGCCATTACTAGGGGAATCCTTGTTAGTTTCTTTTCCTCTGCTTATTAATATGCTTAAATTCAGCGGGTAATCTTGCCTGATCTGAGGTTAAGATGTATGCACATGCACAATTTGGCTTGTCATCACGAGCGTTGCCATTTCACGTTGCCACAACAAGGTTGCAAGTTTAGCTTTTTGCCTTGTTTGCTGCAAGAGGGCTACAAACGTGCTGCACTTAGAAGAACGCGACGGCATTAGCATATTGCTATCCCCCACAACACTTCATTCAACTTTCAGTAAGACATTGCATGCTGAAAGTTAACGTTTATAACCAACACTCAGACAGGCATGCTCCCGGTATAACCAAGAGCGCAATTTGCGTTCAAAGATTCAATGATTCACTATATTCTGCAATTCACATTACGTATCGCAGCTGGCTGCGTTCTTCATCGATGCACGAGCCAAAAGATCCACCGTTAAAAGTTGTAAACATTATTGGCTTCTATTCTTTGTAATCACACAACTGTCAAACATCAAGTTAAATAAAAACACGCGAGAGGCCGGAAATGGCAAGGGAGGCTTATTTGAGTTTGAACAACACAATTTGCTTCCACATTGTTGCTTCCATCCACCCATTTAAGGACGTAGAAAGTCCACCTCCCATTTAGTTATAAGGTTCACAGAGTTCTTCGATTGTGAAGGTAAAAATAAGCAACCTAACACAAGCGAAATGTTATTGTACGGTGATGATCCTTCCGCAGGTTAACCTACGGAAACCTTGTTACGACTTTTACTTCCTCTAAATGATCAAGTTTGACCAGCTTCTTGACGTCCGTCGGATGAGCGGAACTCATCTGACAGTGCCAATCGGAGGCCTCACTAAACCATTCAATCGGTAGTAGCGACGGGCGGTGTGTACAAAGGGCAGGGACGTAATCAACGCGAGCTGATGACTCGCGCTTACTAGAATTCCTCGTTCAAGATCAAGAATTACAATGATCTATCCCCAGCACGACGATGATTCAAAGATTACCCACACCTTTCGGTGAAGGAGCAACTCGTTGCCATCGTCAGTGTAGCGCGTGCGGCCAGGACATCTAAGGGCATCACAGACCTGTTATTGCCTTCCTGACTTTGGTTAAACGCAACAGTCCCTCTAAGAAGTCGAGAGCGATTCGTGAATCGTCTGAGTATTTAGCAGATCAAGGTCTCGTTCGTTAACGGAATTAACCAGACAAATCACTCCACCAACTAAGAACGGCCATGCACCACCACCCATAGAATCAAGAAAGAGCTCTCAATCTGTCAATCCTTACTATGTCTGGACCTGGTGAGTTTTCCCGTGTTGAGTCAAATTAAGCCGCAGGCTCCACTCCTGGTGGTGCCCTTCCATCAATTCCTTTAAGTTTCAGCTTGCAACCATACTTCCCCCGGAACCCAAAGACTTTGGTTTCCCATAAGGTGCCAACGAGGTCATCAAATAACACTCGCTGATCCCTAGTCGGCATCGTTTATGGTTAGAACTAGGACGGTATCTGATCGTCTTCGATCCTCTAACTTTCGTTCTTGATTAATGAAAACATTCTTGGCAAATGCTTTTGCATTAGTTCGTCTTTCGTAAATCCAAGAATTTCATCTCTGACAACGAAATACGAATGCCCCCAACTGTCCCTATTAATCATTACTTCGGTTCCAGAAACCAATGGAAAATAGAACCAAAGTCCTATTCCATTATTCCATGCTTATGTATTCAAGCAAAAGCCTGCTTTGAACACTCTAATTTTTCAAAGTAAACGTCGCGTATCCAACACACACTCAGTTAAGAGCACCGAAGTCTGCGCGAAGAAGGCCAACGCCGACAGTAGCATACCTTGTGGCAGACCCGTCGTCGAGCCCGAAATCCAACTACGAGCTTTTTAACTGCAACAACTTTACAATACGCTATTGGAGCTGGAATTACCGCGGCTGCTGGCACCAGACTTGCCCTCCAATTGGTCCTCGTTAAGAGATTTAAATTGTACTCATTCCAATTACAAGACTACAAAAAAGCCCTGTATTGTTATTTTTGTCACTATCTCCCACGTCAGAATTGGGTAATTTGCGCCTGCTGCCTTCCTTGGATGTGGTAGCCGTTTCTCAGGCTCCCTCTCGGAATCGAACCCCAATTCTCCGTCACCCGTTGCAACCATGGTAAGCCACTACCTTACCATCGACAGTTGATAGGGCAGAAATTTGAATGAAACATCGCCGGCACAAAGTTAAAAGGCCATGCAATTCGAATAGTTACTATGTATCACCAATGGGTTTTGCGGCCATGAAGCCGCATTGGTGTTTAATCTAATAAATACATCCCTTCCAAAAGTCGGACTTTCGCATGTATTAGCTCTAGAATTACTACGGTTATCCAAGTAGTAAGTGGTACAATCAAATAAATGATAACTGATTTAATGAGCCATTCGCAGTTTCACAGTACAAGTGTTTATACTTAGACATGCATGGCTTAATCTTTGAGAGAAGCATATGATACTGGCAGGATCAACCAGTTAACTTCCATTGCTGAGATAAACTTAGGAACAGCATATATGCTAGAACCTGTTTTGTTTATGTTTCTCACATGGGATTGCTCAACAAAGAGCAAGTATACATCTATTTGCCACGTCTTTCAAAGTCTCTCATTGCAATTGATGCAAGCATTGACAGGAACACATACCCATAATGGTTCAATGTGCAGTATGTTTACAACAAATGCAAGTTTGTGAAGGAAGCATGATGAATTACCTCCTTCCATACGCAACATTAGTTTAGTACATATCAGTGTCCATTGGAAAGAATGTACAACACTCACAAACCAAGTGAATCACCTCATCTGCGATAAAGTTTTTCCACAATTTTGCACGAAAGCAATGAAAGAGCAAAACCAAATCTACATTAGACCGACTGCTTAATCATCACCTAGCACAAACTACGTTTCTCATTTGTACTTATTTTGTGAAGCATACTCACCTCACATAATACACCAAAAAAGCAATTCCCTTTTCCCAACACTTGGAGGGATAGACACAGAAAGGTCACCGTGACTCATTTTCCCCTCTCAGAGGGGCCTTCTGATGGTCTCCGTGACTCATTTCTCCCTCTCAGAGAGGCCTTCTGATGTTCACCGTGACTTATTTTTCCCCTCTGATAGAGGCCTTCTGATGGTCACCGTAACTCAATTTTCTCCTCTTAGAGAGGTGTCTTTGTGATTGGCCATGACATAGATTTTTTCTAACATAAAAAACTAAAATTACGAGTTTTAAACGTAATGTCAGTGGATCAGCTAAGGATGTTAGCTGGTTGCATAAATCATTCCGAATGCAGCAATAGCACTCAAACATCATTCTGATGAGAAGGTTCTATCACTGTTTAACACAACGCCGATGTACATATCATCACACTGTGCATGTGCAATTTGAGCACTCTTGCTATGTGTACAGGCTCTCATATTATGGCGTTTACCATTTTTGCATTATGGAAAAAAAAGATTGTCTTTTTAGATTTGAGCACTCTGCTGACTGTACAATACAGTCCATACAATGTATAACCGTACATCCTGTGTTCCAAGTCATGTATGTTTACACATGTCATACACATAATAATGTGATTTATTTTGAAGATTTTATCATGGTCAAACATGTGTCCTGGTTACAAAGGGCATGTTGATTTGTAACAACTACATAACACTTCATTTTTCAGCAGGTGCTATCATGGCCACCTTATACTTGGAAGATAACACAGTTCCCTTTCGCCAACACTTTGAGGACTTAGTATGTAAACAACACAAGACCTACCTAAGTTATTAAAAAGGCCAACTATCATTCCCAACATGGAAACAAGGATGTTAAAGTTCCTATGACATGTTTTCGAAACGATGATATTATAATAGTTTAGATGATTTCAAGAACATTTGCAATATATTTTATAATTGAAAATTTCATCTTTGTGGAGTTTGAGCACCTTAAAGTTGCGGATTTTGAACATTTCTTCATATTGACCGTGAGAGTAAAAAGACTGGTAATTAATAATGACAAATGGCCAGTGTGACGTCACATCGGGAACGCATTTCTGCTATTCTATAACGTTAGTATTATAGCAAACACTAAAAGATATATTTTTTAAGAAGTTTGCTAAAAAATTTTCCGTAAGATGCCACGCAGATGCGTCGTGTTTGGATGTTCAAACACATCAAATTGAAGAAGGGATTGCTCTCCATAGAATCCCATTTGTGAATGATACCAGACCAGAAGCTAAGAAACGTAGAAAAGCTTGGGTTGATTTTGTCAAAAGAAAACGAAAAATTGGGTACCTTCTGCGTCTTCCGAAGTTTGCTCTAAGCATTTTAAAGAGGATGACTTTGTGTGTCGCTTTACTGGTGAGATGGGAGTGAGTAATTCGGATACACCACTGCTTGTAGCTCCCACACTTAAGAGGGATAATATTGGCATATGTGTCTGGCCTTCAAAGCTTAATGAAACAGAAACCGTGTTATCAGAACGAGATCGTCGTCGCATTGTGAGTTTTACATATAAAAATCTATTTAAGGTTCTCCTTTCATTTATGTGTTGCTAACTTAGGAAGTAATTTCACAAAACTATTGATATAGGTATTTCACGCTCGGTGTGCAAATTACGAAGAGTGCAGTGAGTCAAGAAGGAAGCAATTTCCAAAATATAGAATCTTCTCAGCCTTGCACTTCTTTAAATAATGTATCTGCTGAAAATACAGATGAATGTATGCAAACAGACACTATGACTTTCATTGATGAAACTGATAACAGTTTTCATGGACCACTAAAGATCCTGGCAAATCAGCACATGTAAGTTTGATTAGCTCACTTTGAATGAAATTGAAATGAATAGAGTTACGTCTTCCAACAATGACAATATTTCTTTGCCGAACAATTTACCCTACATTAATAACTGCTTAGCAAATACACTGATTGGGCTATTATCAATGCTGTTTCATTAGAGCAGTTTACCACAAGTGTAAATTCAAGTTCCCCTTTTAAGAAATATTTAATATTCAAACTAAAAGTATTTTGTAAAAATATTATTATACACCTTGTACTTTAAAATTAAGAAAGTGTGGTTTATTTGAAGGAGTGGGTAAATGCAAATGACAAGTGGATCCAGACATTGCCACTGAAATGTCAAAACTGTGTGAAACTGACTAGCAAGCTGCTCCAAATGAAGAGAAAGATGCTGTTTTATAAAGCTCAAATGAGATTTGGTATGCTATTGTATAATGTAATCAATATTAGGTGAAAAATATAATAAATTGTATCAGTTAGGGAATACTGATCAAATTTAATGAGCTAATATATAAACTCAAATGATTATGTAAATTGGCGAATTAAGTTATGTTTTTCAGATCATGTTCCAGAAAATAACATCTATGATGCTGCTCATCATTCTGATATAATTGATGAAGATAATGCGGAGCACATGGATAGTGACTCTGGGGATCAAGAATCACAAGATTCCAATACAGATGAGGAAACTGAGGATGAACTTTCCGCAAATGTAACATCAAGT